TACAGGCTTTGGGCATCCGCCCGTCTGACTTTTCTGCGAGCTACTTAGGGAGCAGATACTGATTTGAGGGGGGGGGGGGGCGGCCGGGGTGGTGCATAAAGCCGGTAGCGCTCGGGCAGCCCGGCTTTTAAACAGAGCCAAAAAGGGGCAGAGCCCCCAGCCGCGGCGGCTCTGCTCCTCCCCGACTCTTCGGCTCTGTTTAAGAGCCGGGCTGCCCGAGCACTACTGGCTTCGGGCAGCCCCCGTGCCTCCGGACCCTGCACCGCCGGAGCCCAGGAGGGGAAGTGCCCGGCTGGGGGCGCAGGGTCCGGAGGCATAGGGGCTGCCCAAAGCCCAAGCGCTACCGGCTTCACGGTTTGCCGGGCAGCCTCCAGACCCTGCGCCCCCGGCTGGGCGCTTCCCCTCCCAGGCTCCAGCTGCGCTGGGGAAGCGCCGGCCGGGGACGCAGGGTCTGGGGGCTGCCCGGCAAACCGTGAAGCTGCTAGCGCTGGTTCAGCCCTTTCCCCATGGCTGGGAGTGGGAGGAGGAGGGGGCGGAGTTAGGGCGGGGAAGGGGCGGAAATGGGCGGGGCCAGGGCCCATGGAGGGTCCTCTTTTTTTATTTATTAGATATGGTAACCCTATGTGACATTGCTTTATCCACCCCACCACAAAATGTTATAGGTAGCCAGGTAATTACAGCATAGCTTCACTAGGTACAGTTCTACCAGCTATGTGCCAAAATTCAAATGGTTCTGTTTGTTTCATCTTTCATTCAGCTTTGCAATTATTAGATCCCATTTAAAAATTGGAACTGAAATAACCAAAGCAAGTTAAATAAATAATATATGGAGCTATACCTATCTCATAGAACTGGAAGGGACCCTGAAAGGTCATTGAGTCCAGCCCACTGCCTTCTCTAGCAGGACCAAGTACTGATTTTGCCCCAGATCCCTAAATGGCCTCCTCAAGGATTAAACTCACAACCCTGGATTTAGCAGGCCAATGCTCAAACCACTGAGCTATCCCTCCCCCCTAAATTAAGAAGAGAGTGGCATTGGGCATAGGTGGGGGTAAGACAAAAAAGGGAAAGAACTGACTATGCAAAAAGGAACATCCCAAACTATCAGAGCCCCAGACCCCGTCCAACTGAATCCACCCCAGCCAGGCATATCAAGCTGGGTCCCTGAAAAATTGCCCAGCCCGTCTGGCAGTGAATGCTGCATGTTCCAGACGGAGCTATGGTGTGTGCGTCTGCCTTGCTGACATGCTGTTTTGGTACAGAATGCACCACGGCCACAGGGAGCAGAGACATGGACTCCTACAAAACAAAATCCCCAAATCCAACATCACATCCCCTCCCCACCTCCACACAGTCTGCCATCCCCTCCCCCACCTCCACATGGCCATTCTCAGCCTATTGCTAACAGTTCCTTCCAGCCTTCAGCACTATAAATAAATAAAACATGGTGTTGCAAAAGGCTGATCATGCCAGAGAAACTTGATCTCCTTCTGTGAGAAGGTAACTAATTTTTTGGACAAAGGAAATGCAGTAGCTCAAATCTATCTGGATGTCAGTAAGTCATTTGATACAGTTCCACATGGGAAACTGTTTGTTACATTGGAGAAGATGGGGATTAATTTGAGAACTGAAAGGTGGATAAGGAACTGGTTAAAGAGGAGACTACAAGGGGTCATACGGAACTGCCAGGCTGGAGGGAGGTCACTAGTGGAGTTTCTCAGGGATTGGTCTTGGGACCAGTCTTATTTCACATTTTTATTAGTGACCTTGGCAGAAAAAGTGGGAGCATTTTAATAAAATTTGCAGATGACACAAAGCTGGGAGGGATTGCCAATGCGGAGGAGGACCAGATTATCATACAAGAAGATCTGGATGTCCTTGTAAACTGGAGTAATAGAAATGGGATGATATTTAATAGTGCAAAGTCATGCATTTAAGGACTAACAACAAGAATTTTTCCTGTAAACTGGGGATTTATCAGTTGGAAGTGACAGAGGAGGAGAAAGACCTAGGTGTATTGGTTGATCACAGGATGAGCTGCCACTGTGATGCAGCCATGAAAAAGACTAATGCAGTCCTAGGATGCATCAGGTGAGGTAGTTCCAGTAGCAACAGGGAAGTGTTAGTGCCATTATATAAGGCACTGGTGAGACCTCATCTGAAATACTGTGTGCAGTTTTTGTCTCCCATGTTTAAGAAGGATGAATTCAAACTGGAACAGGTGCAGAGAAGGGCTACTAGGATGATCTGAGGAATGGAAAAATCTGCCTTATGAGAGGAGACTCAAAGAGCTTGGCTTGTGTTTAGCCTAACCAAAAGAAGGCTGAGGGGAGATATGATTGCTCTCTATAAATACATCAGAAGGATAAATACCAGGGAAGAAGAGGAGTTATTGAGGTTAAGCACCAATGTTGGCACTAAACCAAATGAATATTGGCCATCAACAAGTTTAGACTTGAAATTAGATGAAGGTTTCTAACCACCGGAGGAGTGAAGTTCTGGAACAGCCTTCCAAGGGGAGCAGTGGGGGCAAAAAAATGAACAGGTGATGTAGGTCAGGGTCTGTGCAGTGAGTGGCACAACAGAAGCCCTGATCTCCCCTGGCTTCTCTTCAGTGCCTGGCATAACAGGAGCTCAACTGGGGGCTCTGCAACTCCCGGCATTACAGGATCCCTGATTTTGTTTGGGGTCCCTGCAGTATCTGGCAAAATATGAGGGCAGGATCTCTGTCAGGGTCTGTGCTGTGCCCAGTACAGTGGTGGGGTGTGATCTGGGTCGGGGTCAGTGCAGGGCCAGGCCCAAAGGGACACAGATCTCAGTCGGGGTCTCTGAAGTGCCCAGCACAATGGAGGCAGCAATCTGGGCTGCAGTCGTGCGCTGCCTGGCACAAGGGGGGCAGTGATCTCGGGCCGGGTCTGAGTTTTGCCTGGCACAATGGGGGGCCAGATGTCAGTTAGTGTCTCTACAGTGCCCAGCATAACATGGGTGCAGATCTCAGTTGGGGTCTCCACAGCACCTGTCACAACAGTGGGGTCTGACCTTTGTTGGGGTTTCTTCAGTGCCTGGTATAATGGTGGGATCTGATGTTGATTTGGGTCTCTGCAGCGCCTGGCAGAACAGATCCCAGATCTCACTTGGGGTCTCTGCAGCGCCGGCGGAACAGGATCTGAGAATGTGACTAGCAGGCGGTGTCTTGGGGGGGGGCTTCTGGGTTGGGCAGGGTGGGGGAAGGGAAAGTAGCTGGGACTGGGCCATCTCCATGGGGGACGCTTGCTCCTCCCTTCCCTTCCTGGGCCTTCCCATGCCCTGTTGCCAGCAGAGAGTGGCCCCCCCAGCCCAGCCCAGAGGTATCCGTGTCTCAGGACTCTCCCAGCCTCTGCCCATTAATCCTCTTTCCAGTTCAGAAATCACTCAGGGAAATGATTTCCCACCTAAACAAGGACAAATCACTGCAGATACAAATGGGGGGAGGAAGGGGAAACCCCAAATCAGAAGAGATTTGAACTGCGCATTAGAGAAGTGGAGAGAAAATGGGGTACAATAAGTGGAGGAGAACAGACCTTCTCAGGGATTTGAGAGAAGGGGGGGGGGGCTCACTATGGATTTTGCTGTCTAGAGAGAAAGGGGGCAGGATGGAAGAGAACATAACATCGGGGGGGGAGGGGGCAGGATAGACCTAGGGGCCTTTGGAGCTTAGTGCAGGAGCCTCTACAGCATGAGCTAAAAGCCAGCTGGCTGCTAGCTAAGGCTGTGGCAGACTCATTAATTGCTCTCTAAGGGGTCTTGGTGCCACTAGATGGGCCAGACCAGCACACCCAGGAGGTGTGTGGGCTCCATTAACCCCACGGGAGGGGGCAGTGGTAAATCCGAGGGGATCTCAGCCCCCCCTTTCTCTCCCCGCTCCTCGGGGGTCACCTGCTCTTCTCCTCCTCCAGCCATGTCCGGGCTGCACAGACATTTTCCATCCGCCCCTTTTCCCCGGTCTCCCCACCCCAGCCCGGTCTCATTCCCCCCGGCCCGGCAGCCCCCGCCCAGCCCCACGCAGGGACCCCAGTGGGGGCTGGTCCCCTCCCCCCGGGACCCCCCGTGTTGCCCCAGGGCAGAGCCGGGCCCGGGGGCGTTGGGCTCCTGCGGGGACAGCAGCTCCGAGCCCCCCGCGGGCGCTGCCCCCAGGGAGCAGATCCCGACGCTGCGAGATGCCGGGTCCCCCCCACGGACACTGGGGCAGAGTCACCGCCCGGCCCCGGGGCTCGCTCCGGTACCTGGAGGCTGCAGCGCCGCAGCGGGGCGGGCAGAGCCCGGGGCGGCCCCAGCGGGAGCAGGGCGCGGGCCGGACACGGGGGGTTAATGGGTCTCCCCGGCACAGACCCTCCTGCTCCGCCCGGGGTCCCAGATCACAATGGAGGCTGCAGTAGCAGCGCGGTGCTCACCCAGCAGCTGATCACACTCCGCCCTCCCTTTGTTCTCCGGCTCCCGCCTCTCCCCAGCACCCGCTCGGGATCTCAGCACCTCCTGGCTGGGCTGCCTGAGCCTAAAACCTGAGGGAGGAACGGGCAGCCCCCTGGAAAGCCCCAGGTCTTGTGGGAAATGTAGTTTCTCTGGGTCCTGCCTATCCGCATGTAGGATTCTCCCTGCACTGCCATCTGTGCATGCCAAGAGCCGGGCAGCTAGATAGACAACGGTGGGGGCAAGGTCACATCTGTCAGGGCACCAGCCTCTGTTGGCGAGAGAGACAAGCTATCGAGCCACACAAAACTCTTCTTCCGGTCTGGGAAAGGCTCCAACTGCACTTCAGGAGCCAGGTAGAGCCGCAGCGCCCCAGAGTTAGCAGCCCGGCTCCCAGGGCCGGTGCAAGGAAGTTCCATGCGCCCTAGGCGAAACTTCCACCTTGCGCTCCCCCAGCCCTGTGGCAGCTCCCCACCCCTCCTCCCACCCTGAGCGCCCCCC